CGAATCAGGTAACCCAGCTAACTCCACATCCAAGCAGCATGAGAAAAAACTGCCCCGAGAGCATTCGGAAAGAGTTCTCACGTCTAGCATCTCGCTATTTCTTAAAAGACTCTTCTTTTGGAGATTTTACACTGGATTATCTTACTTAAAGAGGGACGTGGCACTGGGTTATCAATTAGCTGAGCCAAAGTCACTGGAACTGAGGTCAGCCCTGTGACCTGCAGCAGCCTTTGTGAAGGACACGTGGGCACATGTGCTTTTTTTATTTTTGATAGCTTTGTAGGAAATTCTCCAATGGTGATTTGATTTGCGCTCATCCCCAGGGGTCTCTTCACAGAAGATCATTTAAGGTTCAGAAATAGTCACATGAAAGATGGCATCTGTTATAATTATATTGAAATAGCTTTTGATTTAGAAGACTTCTTAGGATTATGGCCTTACTTCAAGGTCTCATTATGAACAATGATCACTGGATAATAGAACATTTCCTTTTATAGTTAAGCTTTCTTATTATTTATATATAGATAAATGGGTATTTGGGAGGAGGTCCCAAAGGGGAGAAAGTCAGCCTGATTACCTTTGTGTATTCCGAGTGTCATTTCTTTATCCAAATAATAGGAAATCTGGAGAGAGAGCAGAGAAATTTTAGGAGAGGACCAGCAACAAAATCATTCAAAACACTTTTTCAGAACTCAGGGACATAAATTTACAAATTGGAAAGACGCACTGAATTTCCAGGGCAGTAGATCAAAATGCACCCACACCAAGGCACTACCATCGTGAAATTTCTGAACGTGGAGGGAGAAGTTACAGGGAGGAAAAAACAAGTCAGACTCAGAGAACCTGGAGTTTAAATATCAGTCTTCTCAACAGCAATACTGGAAGCTAAAAGCCAGGGAAGAATGACCTTCAGAATTCTGAGAGAAAGTTGGAGCCCACCTACAATTCCTCACCCAAACTTTCAATAGTCATGTTCAGATATCAAGGTCATTAAAAATTTATTTCCCAGGAAGCTACTGGAAGATGTGCTTCACCAAAATGGCATAAACCAAGAAAACAGACGTGGGATCCAGGAAACAGGAGAGCTGACAAAGGAGAAAGGCAAAGGAGATTCCCAGAATGATGGTGAAGTGAGGTAGCCAGCATAGAGGATGTGAGTCCAGATGTGAGCAGTTGAGAAGGTTCTAGAAGAGCTTCCTCCAGGAAGACGAAGTTGATAGACTGCATGATGTGTCTTAACTTCTTGAGAGGAGAGTCAGACAACTGTAGGTAGTTTTGGATTGAGGATGTAGGTGGAAAAAACTCAAGATAATGATTCACTCCAGAGTAAACAAGTTGTGCAAGAAAGGAAAATTAATGATATATTAATACATGTAGTTCTGTTCTGAATAATATCTACATCATCACAATGATAGAAATCAAATACTGATCCAACCCCAATTATTATATAACTGTATTGGGAGGGTGGAGTGAAGGGAAGGGTTTACAGTGTGTGAGTGGTGTGTGTGTGTGTGTGTGTGTGTGTGTAGAGAGGTAGGGGCTCATAGGAGGAAAGAAGGTCAAATGACATTCTCCATAGGGAAAGTTGACAGACAATGCTAAAACTGAAAAGGAGTAATGCAATCATACTGATTAGCTCTACAGTATTAATAAAATAATCAGCTCAAAGAGTTGAGGAGGACCAAAGTGGTGGCATATGGGACGGGAAACTGACAGTTTTCATAATACACCCTTTAGAACTACTTAACTTTTTCAACTATGTGCATGTATAATATTGATACAAATAAAAACGTTAATAAAAATGTTAAAAATGTAACTTTTTTTTTTTAAAGCTCTTTCTGTAGTCAGCTTTTTTTTTTTTTTTTAAGATGTTGCGGGTAGGAGTTTATTAACTAATTAATTTATTTTTGCTATGTTGGGTCTTTGTTTCTGTGCGAGGGCTCTCTCTAGTTGTGGCAAGCGGGGGCCACTCTTCATCGTGGTGCGTGGACCTCTCACTATCGCAGCCTCTCTTGTTGCAGACAACAGGCTCCAGACGCGCAGCCTCAGTAGTTGTGGCTCACGGGCCTAGCCACTCCGCGGCATGTGGAATCCTCCCAGACCAGGGCTCGAACCCGCGTGCCCTGCATTAACAGGCAGACTCTCAACCACTGCGCCACTAGGGAAGCCCCAAAATTTAACTTTTTATACAAGTAAAAACGTTAAATAAAAACGTTAAATAAATGACAGGAGCAATTGCTACTGTCATTTTATTATACTTTTTAATGTATGTACGCACGCATGCGTGGGCACACACGCACGTACACAGACATACATATGTGCATTTTCTTGGAGTGTTTGCTTTGAGCCAAATGTTGTGTTGGGCCTTGGGAACACAGTGCAGATGAGATCAAGTATGATTCCATCCCACGAAAAATTTCTCTGAAGTGCTGAAAAGTAAATGTCAAACACATGCTGTAGAAAATAATAGGCCATACCGTAGTTCAGTTTTCATTTAGTGAGATGTCTGTAAAATCAACGAAATAGTCACCAGTCACTCAGTTATGTGCCCAGGAGGCACTGTTGTCACATTATATCTGTTGTCGTATTCCATTCTCACACAAACCCTACAAAGTAGGTATTGCTATCTGGGGCTCAGAAGGGGCAAATAGATTGCCTAAAATCTTCCAGCCAGTTGGTGGCAGAGCTGGGATTTGAACTTGAGTCTTTCCGATTCCACATCCACACCCCCAGAGTGTGATCAATTGAACTCAGGGACATAAATTTTTTTTGTAATTTTTCCAGCTAATCTGGTATCATGCAGTGAATGAGATCAAGCATCCATCTCTTGTGTGTGGGGGGGAGCTAATAGATCATCCTCAGAGTGCCTTGGCTTTGGGAGGTGACATTTTCTTTGTTTGAACAATGTAAAGGAGAAAAATTCAAGAAGCATAGGGCATTAACTTTAGTTTTCCTGTGAGGGAGATTTTAACAGTGAGCAACCTAAATTCCCCAGCAGAGTCCACACTCAGGTGAATTAGAATTCATTCTACATTTATTGAGAATCCTGTAAATCAAACCATTAGAGCTTTAAAATGAACAAGACACCTGAGAGCTTGTGCACCTGTTGCACTCTGGTTGTATGTTCAATGTTAAAATGCTTTGGGTAAGACCTGACCTCATGCCATTAGAGTGACTGAATATTTACTTACCTATCTTTTGTCTAATTGATGTTTTAGACCATGGTAGCTTAATTTTTAGAGTAGTTGGGTAAAGCGTAATTGAATTACTTTCATAAACTTGGAATCTCTGCCTCTAGACCAACCTTTCCCAAATGTGTTCTGCAGAGCATTGGTCCATCAAGATGTTTGTTAAATCAAGACGTGACTGTCCCATACGTTTGGAGAATCCTGAATATAATATTTTTCTTCTGCAGATTGACAGTGCACATTAGCATATTAGAGACTGACATGGTTTTGTTTGAAAGAATCATATTTTACTCTATGTAATCAGAGTTTCCACAGTGTTTTTTGAATACAGATTCATTTTTTCCACCCAACTTCTAGAGTTATGTGGAACACGTCTTAGGAAATGGGGGACTCCAGGTATTTTCCTTTTACAAAAAATTCATCCGTGCTGACCTTTAGGCTCCTTTTAAAAGCTCTAAAATGCTGAGGCTTTACAGTTTGGATCATCAGTCTGATTTATGTCAGTCACTTTGATTTGTAAATGTGTTGGGTTATAGTTGTCAAATGCGTACACAAACAATGTCCTACTTTACCTTTGAAATCACTTCTGTGAGCATAATCTTAAAGATTTGGTCATGATTCACTATCTTATTTGAAATTTTAGTTTGGAAATATGTACCCCAGCATTATTAATGTTTTCTAATAAATTGTTCCAGAAATTATATGTATTTATGTGAACATATGCATACATGTGTGGACATGTATATGTACATATGTACAAGCATATCCACCCACATACCATGTATGAACAATTTTAAAGTATTCCATTGTATCATAATTTATTTTTTATTTTTTTTCACATCTTTATTGGAGTATAAATGCTTTACAGTGTTGTGTTCATTTCTACTGTACAACAGAATCAGCTATATGTACACATATATCCCTGCATCCCCTCCCTCTTGCGTCTCCCTCCCACCCTCCCTATCCCATCCCTCTAGGTCGTCACAAAGCACCGAGCTGATCTCCCTGTGCTATGTATCATAATTTATTAAGGAAGGAAATTATTTAGCTTTTTCTAGTTTTTTTTGCTTCAGTGAATATCCTTATACATAAAATCTTTGTATGATTAGGTGGTTATATCTCTATGATAAGTTCCAAGAAGTAGAATTCTGGGTGAAAAGTATATGCGCTCTAAATTTTAATAGATATTTGTTGTCCAAAAGATTGGGCTTGTTTATTTTTAGCAACTGTATTAAAGTGTGTTCCCCCAGTCCCATCTCTGGCAACACGAGTAGATGTATTGAACTGAAATCTTAGCTGATGTTGTTTTCTAAATGGGAAGACTATTAGTTCTCTCAAAACGTACGTTTCATGTGTTCTATATTTATTATTTCCTGATTTATTTAATAGAAATGTCACATTATTTGGGGACTAGGAAGCAGTGGTCTTTGTGCTCAAACAGTTACCATCTGCAGTTATTACACAGGAAATTAATGACAATAACTAAAAGCTTTGTTTTTATTTATTATTATGCATGACGTGTAAATTTTTTGTTTAGAAAACAGTTCAAGCGTTCGTTTATTTATTTTGGTTGAAAATACATGTCTCTATGAAATTTTGCATTAATAGATTCTGCCAGAGAAATAAAATTATGGTAGACTTTGTGGAAAAACTGCAGAGATGACAAGCTTGAGCACGAAGATATTTTTGAAATTTCCACATTTTCTTATGAAACTTCTCGTTTTTGCTGTCTTGTTGAACTGTAGAAAGACTTTCCAGTCTGCCTTGGAGGAATGTCAGTAACATAATCGGTTCCTTCTCTTTGCCTTAAAGGAGGAAGACAGTGGTCCTATAGTGCCCATGGGTGAGAAACGGAAACTTTGAGCTGCAGCTTCGGTTTATCCTCAAAGCCTGCATTGTTTGTCTTCATCTAATCGAGCTTTAGTGGACATCTGTGACAGTTGCCTGTACACATGCTCTAATGAAATACTAGAAATGGCTGTAAATTCAAAAGAAACCCCATATTATGTATCCGCATCACTGCTGCTAGTATTCATATTTTTGCACATACTGTTTATTGCTTATGTGTAGAAGAAATGAAACTAGTTTTCAGAGTTATTATTAATATGAATATATATCATGTATTAATACTGAGGAAAAATACATTTCCAGCGTTCGCAGTCCTTCATTTCCTGTCTCCAACAGAAAATTCACTCATTCAGAAAATAATGTAATTCTTGATAATAAAATGAGAGTTTTGATCAAGAACAGCATATACAGCTCCAAAATGGAATGTGAAGGATTAGTAAAAGACACATCTCATGTTACTTTGCAACCCTCATACCACGGTTAATGTCAGGGTGATTTGTTATAAAACACGATTTGGGAGTTAATGTAAGAACATAATACTCACTTTATATATTACTTTCTTAGTTAAAGGATTTAATTATACGAATCTAATCATACTTATTTGACATATTAGAAGCTGAGGTTTCTAGGAATTTGAGAAAGGTATAAGAAATAAATAGGCTAAAGAGAAAGTGGATACTTTATTTTATAGCTTTATTTTCCATGATAGAAACATAAATTTAATAGTATCCTATAATAATTTAGTGTTGTACATTTTGTAAGACTTTAAAATATTTTATTTTATAGGTTTCACTTTGGCATATTGAGATCTTTGTTTTGAAGATGAATCATATCCTTATTTTAATTAATTTTAAGTGCTACTGGCAAATTTACGCGTATGCTTAGATGCAGTTAGATGTGATAGAATGAGATAATTTATGTAAAGCAGTAGAGTGCCTGGCACAAAGCAAGTGCTTAATAAATGTTATTAGTTGTTGTTATAATTATTGTTGTAAAACTAATGACTTCAATAACGTGTTGCACTCAATTTTGAGGGATTTTGTGATGCAGAATATCTAAGTTAGAAATAGAAAATAATACAGATGGAATAATTATGTGTTGAGAGATTTTAAATGTGTTGGGTAAAGGTTGTAATAATGAAAAGCATTAAATGCAAATAAAAAAAATCTTACTAAGTATCCCTGAAAACAGAAGCTAAGAAGGTTCACGGTGGAGCCTTGGGCAGGGAGAGAAAGGACCAGAGCTGCCCCAGAGAGAGGAAGCGGAGGCGGATGAAGGGTCAGCATCTAACAAAGCCCTGGACCACATGAGGGCAGCATCAGGCAGAGCCTCTGAGAGGTAAAGGCAGTCCCAGGATTTTCCCTTCTTTAGTTTCTTGTATACAAAAATGAAGAAATGGCAAAGCATGGCTACAAAAACTTGGCATATTTGAATACGTATCTTATAGACTAAAACTGATACCACGTACTTGCCAGACATTGGCTGCAGGTGTGGCCTCATTTGCAGTTAACATCAAAAGACAAAATCAAAACCCTCTCATGAGTGAGAGGCCAACAGGGCTGCTGGCACTCCTCTGCTAGACCCTGTGTTCAGGCCCTGGGGCTAAACAGTACATGGGCACCCAGTGTCACTGATCCTGATGTGGTTGGCACTGAGCAGCTGGGGACCGTTCTTGGACTTAACTTCTGATGCTTCCTGCAGTCTCCAGTCACTTGTCCCTGAAAAATACAAAATAAGCATAACAACAAAAACTAATTCAAATGACTCTCAGGGTAATATCTTGTTGCCCATATTTCCCCTCCAAAATATCTTTTTTAATTGAAGGAATCAAATTTATTTACTGGATATTTTCTGATTCAAAAGACTGAAATGAACTACTTGGTTCAGCTTGTGGTGTTCATTGGTGAGACTGTGTGGAAGCTTATACTCTTTAATGTGGGAAACCCCTTCATTCCACCATTAGGTACCTCAGACCCAGATTAGGAATGCTGCTTGTAGTGATGCTTTTGTGGGAATGAAGTTGAAAGAGTAATTTGTCAATAACAAAAGTGTAAATGACTGGTCAGAAATCTATCTAGTTTTGATGGTGGCATGGGAAAGAAAAGTATGGGATGGACCTGGAAATTGGGGAAGAAGCTTCCCAAAGCAGAAGTGTGTGTATGGGGTAGTTAACTAGGGATAAGGGATGGATCTTGACATTTAATTTAGGGTGGATTTTGTTTACCTGAAAAAATGGCAAACTGAGGGTTTTCTTCTCATATGGTTTACACATATATAAGCACCTCTTATTCAAGGTAATTAATGTAGCTGATGGTATGTAATGTAATATTGATCTCAGAAAGTTTGGTCAGTTAAGGTAATTTGAGTCATTTTGTTGGTCAGTCTAGCTGAAAGACTTGCTGATTTTGTTGGTTCTTGATCCTTTCAAAGAACCAACATTTGATTCTGTTGGTTTTCTCTACTGTGTTTTTATCTAATCTTTATTATTTCCTTCCTTCTACTTGCTTTGGGTTTATTTTGTGCTTTTTCCATTATCTTAAGGTGGAAGTTTAGGGTATTGGTTTGAGATCTTTTTAATAAAGGCATTTGTAGTTATAAAATTTCCTCTAAGCATTGCTTTAGCTGCATCCTATAAGTTGTGTTTGTTATATTTTTGTTTTCTTTCATCTCAAAGTATTTTCTAATTTGCCTTGTGATTTCTTCTTTGACCCAATGGCTTTTTAGGAGTGTGTTGCTTAATTTCTACATATTTATGAATCCCCAAATTTCTGTTATTGAGTTATAATTTTCATTGTAACACACTTTGTGTGATTTGAATTCCTTTAAACTGATTGAGGCATGTTTTATGGCCTAGATATGGTTTATTCTGGAGAATGTTCCATGTGTATTTAAGAAGAATGTGTATTCTGCTGTTGTTGGTGTTATGTTCTATGTCTGTTAGGTCTAGTTGATCTTCTGCATATTTCTGTCTGTCACTGAAAACAGGATATTGAATTCTCCAGCGATTATTGTTGAATTACCTATTTCTTGCTTCAGTTCTGTCAGTTTTTTTTTTCATGTACCTTGGGACTCTGTTGTTAGGTATATATACATTTATCATTTTTATATCTTTCTGATGGAGTTATCCTTTTATCATTATAAAATGTCTCTCTTTATCTCCAGCAACATTTTTGTTTTATAATAGACTTTCTAAGACATTAGTATAGGACTCCAGCTTTTTTATGGCTGCTGTTTGCATGATATGTGTTTTTCCATCATTTTACTTTCAACCTATTTGATCTTTAAATCTAAAGTGTGTCTCCTGTAGACAGCTTAAAGTTGGATCTTGTTTTTCCATCTAGCCAATCTCTGCCTTTTGGTTGGACTGTTTAACCCATTTATATTTAATGTTGTTGATATATTTAGGTTTATGTCTGCCATTCTACTTTTTGTTTTCTACCTGTCTCGTGTCTTTTTTTGTTTGTTTCTCTGTCCCTCCTTCATTGCTCTCTTTTGCATTAAGTGACTATTTCCCAGTGTACTGTTTCTTTTTTTTTTTCTTTTATTATTCTCCAGTGTACTATTTCAATTGCTTTAATGATTCTTTTTAATACTTTCTTTGGAGTTTATTTTCTTAGTGGTTGCTCTAGGGCTTACCATATATTGATACATGTTAATTTATTAGAATCTACTTCAGATTTATGTTAACGTGATTACAGTTGGTGTTCTTTGTTCTTGTCAACTGCCTCTTGCCCTAGGCAAAATCTTTGAGTCACAGCTCAGGAGCTATGGGTAGGGACAGTGGTTTGCTCTTTGTGGAGTGACACTCCTGCTTTGCAGACAGGGTCCTGGGTAGGGGCAGAAGCCTCTGGTTTTTGTGGCTTGCCTCTCCCAGACTGAAACTTCCACCCTATGAATAAGCCAGGGTGAAGGTGACCAAGGTCCCAGTATTCTCAGCCTGCTGCACCTGGTGTAGAACCTCTGCTTTGTGAGTGGGGGCTGGGTGGAAGAAGGGGGCTTATGAGCTCTTGGAATTTAGTCTCTGTGAACCTTTTATGTATCCCTTGGTTGGGATTTGAGGGAAGAGGGAGCCCCATCTTCCTGGCCTTGCCCACTTAGAATGGATAGTTAATCATGCTAAACTGGGGTGAGTGTGTTTATGGCTCAAATTCTAAATAATCTTATTGAGATTTAGGAGATTTTTCTTGAATACATTTTTTCTCCATTTGCTGTATGTCCTTGGGAAAATTTCCAGACACTTTAAATTTCTTCTTCTTTTTATTCTACCAGGTATGGTAGTTGCACTGGGAAGCAGGTCTGTGGAGCTTCTCACATGTCCATTCTGGGTGTAATGCTGTCATCTAAGATGGCACATTACTCAAAATGTCAGGCTGTCAGATTCCTTCTGGAATTTTCACTCGAGTAAGCATATTTTTCAAAATTGTGTGTCAGATATCATCATTGTGATTAAGGGTAGACTCATGCTTTTGGATAACTTAAAGTTTCTTAAAATGAAGTTGACATAACAATGGTAGTAGTTAACTTATTGAGTTAATCACTCTGAAACTTCTCCATTTTATTTTTCTATTTAATTAATTAAAAACAATTAGTATATGCTGATTAATGATTTTCAAGTCTGACCTCTACAAACTGAGACTCAAGATGGCATGTGTGTGAATAGACACCCAATAAACCTCATTTTCCTTAGAATCTATTCACTTCTATTAGAATATATTAATATAGCAAATATTGATATGATGAAAAGCAACCTATATTTTATTTAATACAGAATATTATTTGGGTCATAGTATAGAGTATTATGTAAAAGATGAGGCTTTATACACCGATGATGTAATGCAGCTCCTAAAGATAGGCTCACAGAAACCTTTGTTCGTTTTTTTCCGTGTTCCCTTCCTTTGTTTAGAGGTATTTCCTGTGCTGCTTCTGTGTGAAGCTCTTAACTGACACTCAGTCAGGTAGTGAGGTGGTGACACGTGACCCTTCAGACGAGTGTTGTTGTTTTTTTAAGAAAGATAAAAACAACATAGAAGAAAGGCTTTTATTGGAAACTTTGTGTTGTGTCAGACTTAGATTACATTTTAATAAAGTATACTGGAAGTTTTACACTTCAGATTGTACAGGAATCCCCGCTTGGAAATGACACTATTGAGTTTTGAGAAACTTTTCAATTTCTGAAACTTCAGTGAATCTGCATAAACGACTGATCTGTAACACTTCTACACCTCCACCACCCAGTGGGACACTGTAGTTTAGTGAGTCAATAAAATTTAAGAAATTTCTTAGAGCTGCTCCAGAGACCTAGATATGCTTGTTTTACTCCCTTTTGGGCCTGATTCATTTCCAGAATAACTCTACTGCACACTTCTTTTGATAAACTTTAATTGCTTTCAAATTACATTGGAATTTAGTCAACCTCAATAGGAATTTTCCTGTGAAATTATATTAGAATCTGGCCCAAAGGGATTAAAAAAAAAGAAGAAGAAGCATAATAAAGTCTATACATTGCATGAAAAACATTTTATCTTTTATAACATAAAGATGCTTCTTTATGGCATGAAAGAAATCTACAGTGTTCTTACAGCAAAAGACTGGGATGAAAATTAACTCCTTGAAATTTCAGTCATATTAAATAAATTTCCTAACAAATGCTGCTTTCAGCAAATCTCATTTGAATAAATTAACCTTAAAACAAAAAAAATCTTTATAATTAACATGATTTCTTTCCCCCTTTTTTTTCTGCTCAGAAATTATCTTCAAATGACATAGTTCCAAATATTCAAGAAATATGTTTGGGGCCCTATTAAAAAATTCAGATGCACATCTGATGGAGTCGTTTATGAGGATTTTGCCTTTGCTCTTAGGCTCAGTAGTTACAGTGGTCGAGCTCAGCCTTCATACCTAACCAGAAACTTGAAGCAGTTTAGGAAGAACTGGGACCAGCTAAGAAAAACCTACAATTCCACAGATCTTTATTTTCTAAGTCCACAGAAAAGAAATGTGAATGCAGTTCTTCTGGTGGGGAAATTGGTTTTCCCAGGAAGAGGAATTGATGCTTCTAGAGCACCAAGGAGGTGATTTTCTCATTTATGTAAGTGTGAGAAATGTCCTAAGTGGTACTCTCTTACGCGAGACAAGTACAGGTGAGCAGTTAACTCCAAGGGACTGTGCATCTCACAGAGGCCAGGGCCATTATTACTGCTAGTCCTTGCACGAAACTATGTATTTGAAAACATGTTATGGACATTGATTGCACCTATTATTTCTCAATGAAGTTCCGACCCTTGGGCTCCAGCCTTGTGTCTCTCTGTTCTCAACACCCCACCCCCTCCCCCGCAAAGACTAGAGGGTCCATTGTTGCTGACTTCTACATCTTTGGCAAGAGAACACATATTTTCACTACGATCCTTGGAGGCCTTTTCTTATTTCTGGATTACTGACAGTTGGTCTGCATTGTTTTTTATCATCTCATGCATTTGTGTTAAATATATTTGAATCATCATAATCACTGTGTTGTGGGAATTGGCTCAAAGGAGGCAGACAACATTTAAGCCAGAAGAAGCTTTTTTCTTTCTTTCTTTCTCAATCAATCACCTTTTAAAAACTGGTCAATAAGATGATGTAATTGATTTCTGGGGTTTCTTAATTCTGTCCTCTGATTTAGCTGAGGGTAAACTTCCTTTTTTTGACCAGAAAGAAAAATGTGTCAAGTATATGTGTGGTCAAACCTATGCATCTTCTGAAGAATTATTTTTATTTTGAACTATTTTAGAATATCTCCAACTTTCCCCAACAGTATTCATTTCTACCACCACCCTGGGAAGCAGGAAGATGAGTAGCAGTAGCTCCTCCAGGTGAACTGTGGCCAGAGAACAACTCAGCCAGTGGAGACAAACGGTGCTTCCCAGCAGAATGCGGTATGTGAGGAGAGAATGTACCTGGGGTGGGTGCAGACATGAAAGAAGCTGTGAAGACTTCCCAAAAGGAGCAGAGAATTTCCATGAAGCCAGACCCGCTGTAGAGCAATAGCTGTAGCTGATACAGGTCAACACCTTGGATGATTCAAAGTGGTGTTTGTAACGCTGTTCTCTGGGCAAAGTTCTGTGACCGACTGCAGGTTATGTGGTCACATCCTGTCATGTGATCAGATGGGCGGGGGTAATAGCGGTTCAAGACACAGACAGAAACCAAATTCCTTGACTTAAATGTTGGATCTGAGTCCTGCTGGAGATGTGTGACCTTGGTCCGTATACTTAACCTTACTGGCCTCAGTTTCTTTGTCTTTATTCTTACTACCTAAATCTTGGTGTACTTAATCTCACCGGGCCTCAGTTTCTTTGTCTTTATTTAAGATTTACTACTTAAATCTTGAGATGTCTGTTTATATTATTTTAGCACTCATCGGATTATCTGGATGAGGGTTTGCTATTATTCCTCTATCACTTATAGGCTCTTTGCACCACAGTGGCCAAGAGGCCCGGGCTGTTGGAGCAGGGCTGCCCAATACGGTCATCCTGCTTCTCTTTTTTCTCACTCACTTTCCCCCTTTTTCAAGGACAGTCACTCCTGTGCCCATTGGCTCCACCAAGGGCCCTCTGTACAGCCATGGGCTTCTCTCTGCAGCATATGCCTGTATTAGTATGTGCTCAGGTACCAAGAGAGAAACGTCACTTTCTGAGGCAGAATCTCCCGAGATGCTTCCCAGCCATTCTTTCTTTCCCCATACTAGGCCCCCAGAGTAGCTGTATTCCTTAGGAAGGATCAACCTCAAATAGGCGCCTGAATGTCAAAATACTTGAAGGAAATGATGAAATAATTTGTGAAGGGTGAGTGAAGCCATACGCTGAAACGAGCAGCAAATATGCGATTGCCAGGTGTAACTTTGCAGGCTCTGTCTGTTGATGCAGACGAATAATTGAAGAAGTTAACTCTGCCTGCCTCTTCAATAGTTAGGTAGAGACAGTCTCCCAAGGGTGCAACTTCCTAGGGCTTCAGAGTGGCTGAGGGACCCCCTCTGAGAGATGCGAAGGTAGGCCACTAGACACCCATTGCTTGGGGGAAGGGCACAGAGGGACATTTTGACCTCGACAAAGGTCCTCTGGAAAAGGAGAGCTCTGGGGTGGAGGTGAAGCTATTTCCATAAGGAGTTAGAGTCCTTCTGGGAGTGAGGGAGCTGAGGGTCTTAAGTGAGTTTTAAAATGAGGGAGACCCATGGGAGTTCACTGCTTGGGAAGGGCAGCAAAGCGATGCGCCACAGGGGGACGGGCAGGCTGACCTGGTGCTGTCTGACCAGTGCTGAGCCTAAGGGTTGTGGGTTCGTACTGGTTCCAGCATTGTGGAATCTTGTCAGCCTCACAGTTGACCCTCACAGCTTTGGATAACACTGCTGAACGTGAGTGCCCCTCGGGGCCATGGGAGCAATAACGCCGGAACCACTGGACTGGCTTCCTTTGAAAGACAACACTGGTTGCTTGGACAGCTCCAGAGAGAGAGGACCCCCCAGGATGGGGCTTAGACTTCCTACTGATAAGGACGTGTGGAGAAACAAGCCCCATTGAAAAAAATAAGAGCTGTATGGCCATTTCTGATACCCAAGCTGGTAAGGGAAGTCATATCCATTATTTATGCACCACACACTATAAAGAACATCTGGTGGATTTGATACAAATCTGTAGCTCCTCCTAACTAAGAAGCGTTATCAGCCCTTAAGCAAAGGGGAGCGAGTGTGCTTCTCTCTGGATCTTTTCCTCGTGTTGAGATTGTTCTCTTCCAAGCCAAATACCTTCTTCCTCATTATTATTATTTTTCCTCAGCACTGATAATTCTTAGTTTTTTGCTTATGTACTTGCTCCAAGTGCACTCTTGAAGTCCTGAGTTTTCTTCGGTAGATTCCTTCAGAAGCTTTCCTTTCCTCTGTGATGTTCTGTGAGGTGATGGCTCACCTGAGGCCACAACTCGGCCTTTGTCCCATCAGGTGAGTCCGTGTCCTCTAGAGCAGCTTCCTTCTCTCTGGTGATAACAGCGTCCTCCACTGTGTAATGGTAGATGTCACGCTTGAAACTGAGCAGGACCCTGGGGGGGCCTTCCCATGTACAGAAGCCCCTCTGTGACCCCTGTTTCTTGTTTGTAGGAAAAAAAGCTTTAGTCTCCTAGGCCTTCCGAGTTCCAAAGAGCAGGCTCAAGCAGTTACTAATTAGGAAAGTGAGGGGATGCAGAAACAAAGGAAAAGCAGTTAAGCAAGAAAAGTAATAATAGCTTAGATTACAGTTCAGTGATAAAACAGAGACCTAGTTCCTCCTCAAGGGGCATACATGATAATCTGATGCATATCTTTGAGCTGTCCTGCAGAAACTAAGATTCTCCCCCCCACCCCACCCCCTTGGAGGGCCGTGACTACATGCTGGCCACAAGCACTTAGACCCCAGACTAGTTGGAACCAGAAGGTAAAGGATTACGTTTCCTGAAACATCACCCTGTTACCTCACCACCAACCAATCAGAAGAAAGTCCATGAGCTGCAACCCTCATCCCAAATGTTGCGTTTAAAAACCTTTCCCCGAAAGACATCAGGGAGTTCTGAGCTGCCTGTTCTCCTTGCTTGGGGCCCTGCAATAAATGCTGTAGTTTCCTACACTGCGACCTTGTGTCAGTGGATTGGCGTTGCTGTGCGGTGGGTGAGCAGACCCAAGCTCAGTTTGCTAACACACTTATCCCCAATCTGGTTGGAAAAAGTCACTTTCTGCTTGGAATCTGAGTGGAATAATCTTCCACATTCCCTCATAACACACCAGACTTCTTATGCACTAATGTGAAATCTGAGTTTCATGGGGCGTTATTTTTTAATCAGTTAACTCCCAGTTTTGTGTGTGCTAGATTATGATTAGTTTAAGAATTCCCAGTTTTTCTTATCTTGAGTAGAAAGGGAATATTTAGTTTCCAAGAGCCACTTAGATAAGAAAAAGTTGAAAACACCGTGAAGGTAAGTAGAATTGCTGGAGACTGGAGGACTTCCTGTGTTCACTACCGACACTCATTGCTTCTGCTTCCTATGGAGAGTCGGCATTTGGACCTTGCCTGTGGTCTGTTTATTGCGCACATTAAAGAGGCGTCTCTGAGGGCCAGATGGGTGAGTGAAAGTAAGCTCCTCAATTCCCCATCTCCACTGATAAATCCGACTTTGTCATAATGACAGAGCACCCAAAGCAAACAAATGCAATGCGTGGACACTTCGCTTCATCCTGGTTGTGTGCAAAGACCTCTTAAACCCGCACAGAGGTCGATTTTCAATTGCCCCTAAGCCACCAACCAAACGGATGACACTAGCAGAACTTTCCAAAGTTTCTGCCTGAAAACACTCTAGCAAGAGAAACTGAAGCAGATGAAATAGATGGTCATTTGATTCATATGAGTCATAAGCTGCGGAATTTGATCTAGTTCTAGAACATCAAAATCGTAATAGTTTTGTCTTCACTGGCTTTTAGTCGAGACTCTAAAACAGTCAGCAATTACTGAATTATTGAATCGCAAAGGTAGGCAATGGGCAGGGCTTTTCTCAGCAGCACACTGACTACGGAAATTAAGTGACCAGGAGGCTTGAGGACCCCTGGGACTAAAACCCTCATTCCTTACACATTGGACAAGTCCCTTCTTAGACGGGATGTCGGTTTGCGGGAGGTGATCCGTGTATAAGTGTGAGTTAATAGTAGTCCCTTTAATTCTATTCCCCACATTCCTCATTAATCTCACCCTATTGGATCACTGCTTTATTTTGTTCCTTTATAAATTTATATCACAAAACCTCGATTTATGGTATCACCATTGATAAGTTTTTTCAATATACACAGTCCATTTATTTTCACGCCCACTTAGGACCAGTGAAATTTATGTAGCAACATATTATTAATTGCCTTCCAACTTCCGTCCATCAGAAATATTTAACAAATGTCCCCACCCATTACTATAAAACTATTCCTGAAGCAAAGTGCTTTCAGAGATGCATCTAATTGACGCATTGTCTTTTTTTGGAGATGTACAAACTTCTAGAAAGCAGTCCACTGACAGGTCTCTAAGTGATGGGGGGAGTGTTGTTACTCACTGAGATGCCTCCTGGGATGATGGCCTGGCTCACTTTGAAGCAGAAAATAGAATAAAATGAGGTTTATGTGCTATTGGGGTCAGAAAAGCCCATTACGATGATTTTGCTTAATGCTTGTCATCTAGTCTGTAGTTGTCTGTAATACAATGCCTGTCCTGATGCAGGTGTTTTGTTTTGGGGAGTGGGTATCCACATCCACAAATGCAGGGGCTGCTGGACAGTAGGAAGGGTACAGCCAGAGGATGGCTGTGGATGGTGCGGGAAACTGGGCAAAGTCAAGGGCAGTAATTAAGCTCCTCCCTCTGACCTGCTTCTTTTCTTCCTCTTCTATTGCTGTAAATTAAACATGGTTGCTAACGTCTGACATTTCTCCCTTGACAGCGAGGGGGACACGATACAAGTCTGTCGTTTGTTTATTCAGCAGGTGCTTATTGATTTCTTCCTGTGTGTCAGTTACTGTGCTGGTGCAAAGAAAACTCAGTCCTTGCCCAGAACACACCTAATTATAATTCAGAGCATCTTCTAAAAGCCATGTGTGTCAGTTACTGTGCTGGTGCAAAGAAAACTCAGTCCTTGCCCAGAACACACCTAATTATAATTCGGAGCATCTTCTAAAAGCCATGTGAGTGGCATAAATTACATGTTCAAAAAAGAAAAAAAGAATATCCTGAGGTGAACAGGGCGTATTCATGGAGAAGGTGTCATAGGACTTAAAAGTTGGAGAAGCAGGTGAGAAGAAGGGGTCCACGTATGCAGACTAGCAGGAGAAAGGGTGTGAGGAGAGTGAAGGAGGAGGCCTTAGACAGAGTTGGTGCATGAAGCATTTTAGCTGAATTAAAATATATACAAGAGAGTGGAGAGATGTTATGATAAAAGGCAGGATGAAGGAACCAGACTGAGGACTTTGAGAGCTAGATGATGAAATCAAACCTTTATTTATAGGATATAACGGGTCCATCGTGCAAGTTAATTATGGAGCACTTGCGTAGCAGGCACTGGAATAGATCCCGGGAAGGTTGGAGGGTCAGTGATGCATAGCCACATCCCTCAACTAGAGGCAGCAACGAGGCCCAGAAGAGTTCTGAACACGAGATTGATGTCTTCTGGAGATGAGCTCCACGTGAGGTAAAATGGGGGGTTGGCAAGCCTGTCACCCAGAGGTGTAGGCAGGTGGGGGGGAGATCGGGGCCAAGAAGCAACATGGAGAAGCAGATGAGGCAGGACAGGTACCTGCTCTACCTGCTGGCGTGAGAGCTGCTGTCTGAGGCTGCATCCTTTCCCACATCACAAGCTCTTCTCCTCTTCATCCAACGAATAGACGAGTCCAGATGTGAGTGAGCTGCAGCCCCTCAGTTTACTATTTGGGGAGAGTCATTTGCAAGTTTTTTACATGACTCCCTAGCTCCAAGAAGTATAAACTAGCTCTCTCTCTCTTTTTAAATGTCTTGCTTGTAAATTGTCCCTAAAAAAACTACTGTGCTCATGTCTGATCCTTGCAGGTAGCATTGAAGCACCTTGAAGGTAAGGACTTTGACAGGTTCCCACAGCTTATCTTTCTCCCCTACACCCTTGTCGCCTGACAGATTTCCCAGTGAGACAAAAGATTCTGAACTTATTACCAGACACAAACAAACATCAGTAACAACTACATACAAATTTTCTTATCTTTTCGAAGATGTAAAATATACCTCTGTGTGTGTGTGTGTGTGTGTGTGTGTGTGTGTATTTTCCACCATCTTTTCTCAGCTGTCATTGCTAAATCCATGATTTCATGGTAAAAATAGCTGTAACCTGGAAAACAACTAGAACCTTCTTGGTTTTTAATATTCTCCTAGAGGCAGAGCATCTTTTTCTTTCCAACTTGCTGACAACACAGTTGTTGGGGGTCAGACACTCAGGATGGGTGATTCTTGATAAAAAATAATGGACACGTGGTTGTCCTAGCAGCTTCTGACCTTGTTTCTATTTTCTGTGTGTTCTCTAAGAGGATGCCTGGGTCAGCTCTGACACACCCAGGGCTTTCAGCTCTTTCTCAGCATCCTGGACCCCTGCCAGTCTCCATTTTCTCCAGGTCCATGAGGCATAAGACAGATCTACAAGGACTTTGGAGCTGGGCATCTACAAGGCAAAGTTGAGGAGCCGGATGGTCCTCTGCCAGTGCATAGAGAGTTGGGGGTACCAGCTGGTTGATTGGGCAGGTCCCCAGGCTGAGCAGGATTCCAGCTCAGTAGATTCAGAGCAGCTCTGGGAGAACTGGTAAACCCACCCAGGGCTCTGGCCCGGTCCATTCTTCACCTTGTCAATGTCACCATCTTCTAACCTCTTTTTTGTTTGTCTTCAAATAGCCCTCCTTTTGAATATCGGTATCCCTTTAGAAGCTGATTTATTCTATCTGCTTTATGCCACACGAGTGCTTTTTCATTTGGTGTAAGCTGGTACTCTTCCTCCTTTCGATGGGGATTTGTCTTCAAAATTAATTTCAGTCATTTCTTCTTCTCTTCGTATCTCTATCAACTCACAAACATTTCTTGGAAAGACCAGTTTATATGATTTATTGGATCTTTAGAAAACCATTACTATCTCTTTTATTCCATAATTATTTTACTTAAAGGTTTATAAAGTTATACTTTTTTCTTATTATTTCCTCTCTCTATATATATTTATTTATTTTTTATTGGAGTATAGTTGCTTTATTCTGACATGAACGTAACAAAAAAAGTGTCTTTCTGTTTACGTAGTAAGTACAGGATAAAAAATACCAGGATTTGTTTGTTGTGTCCACATATTTCAGTGGGTTTTCTTCAGCCTTTGCAACTACAAAAGCAATACAGTTACTTTACTTGAAACCTACCAGAGAAGAGGAGAGCTGTCAGCTCTAAGTAGTTTTTCAATTAATTTAGTCTTTCTTTCTCCACTGGTAACAAGTGCGTTGCCCAGGCCCGGAAGCCTTCTCCCATAGTGCTGGAGTGATGAAGCATGGCTGGCACATGGCATTGCTTGCAATGACATCTTTTTCTGCACAAGCGTTCTGAAATCACTGTGGATGGATAGATAACCTGTCTTAAAAGGACAGCCTACTGTGATTCGTAATCCTGGTACTGCAACAGTAGGCATAGCTGCCTAAGACAAAAAGGCTTTTTCCAGCTTTGTGTGAATCATCGCTCAAGCATTTAAAACACGGAGTCTGTTCTTCCAGTGCAAAGCACTCTCGTTAATATTAATGAAAGTCACACATTTTCTCTCAAAGACAGAAAGGATGCCTCAGTCTTTCCCCAGGAATCCTAGATTGTAAAAGAAGAGTATCCGTAACTGCTTTTTTTTTTTTTTTTTTTTGTCGTGGAGTAGAATGGAATAATAGAGCTTAGGCAGAAGCTGGCAACATTTAAAATCAAGCTCTCCGTTTGTTGACACTAGAAAAATACCTCAGTGTTGGAGCATAAATGCAAATGTCTCCCTCTGTGTTTGATACTTCTCAGGTTTCTCACTCTCTTTTTCACTTTGAAGGGAAAAGAAAAATCATTTTGGTTTTTAAAAGATCAAACAGATTTTTAAAAACATTTAACAGACACCAGCTACTCATTTCCCCATTAATGCAAATCAAGCCTTCTTATTGATAGAATCTGAGAAAAAGAGATAAAACACAATAGATGAAAGACACTGATAAAAATAGTGGCAGCATAAGGGTCCTGTTTTTCAGCTCTTAAGGGAGCATATACTATCATTCTTCTTAAGCTAAACTACCTCTGATATTGGAGGGCTGAAGGCACTGAATATGCCTCATTTTCAAAGTATTAGCAAGATCAATTAGCAAATCCTCACAACCAAGAGGAGTAAAAAGCATTCAGCAATAGAGCAGTATCGTGTAGCACTGTTCTAGGAATTACCATTTTATGTTTCAGTTTTCTGTGTCAATCCACATGGCGAATCCTATCCACTTTGAGAATTTAGGAGTAGTTCAGTATTTTGCTCAAAAAATAAGAGGCTGCCCATTTAGTGGAAAGGGCATGGGTTTGGCGCTTAGAACACAGACTCACGTTTACTTAGTAAATACGTACGTGCTGTGCACTCCATTGCTTGTCCTTGTAGGGCTATGGAATTCTGTGTACGGGACTTAGTTTTTCTGAGCTTGTAGAAATCTGTCGCATCTTGTCTGCTCAGCAGTTTTCTTTCAGGAACTACTTTTCTACCTGACGAGGTTGCCAAGATCTTACCTCCTCTGTAAAGTGACTCAGATGGGACAGTCTGAAACACTCAACCCTAATGGCCACCGTGATTAACTTGGGGTGGACCCATGGCCCGAACTGAGCCAATCTGAGAATTTTCCTAGAGCTTCCTGGACAGGGGAGTGAGTGAGCTGCTCTCCAGGATCACAAGTTATAAGGATGGTGTTAACTTTGTTTCCAGATAAGTGCTTATCTGTGAATGGATTTTAACCCACAGAGGAGGAGGCCTACGGAGCTGTAAAGAGTCCGCACAGGAGAGCTCTGATAATGTGTTTTGAGCCACTGCATCTAAACTCACCTGGATCCAGTTCTGGACATTTCAGTTGCATGGAATTAAAGGGGTTCCAAATGAGCCTCCCCACGGTGTGCCACTCTGACATGTGGATTATTCTGAGCTGAAGACAATCAAGGCCCAAAAGACTCAGAAAGAGCTTTTAACTCCCCCTTAACTGCCTAAAAGAATTTAGATAGAGGGCCTGGTCTAAGAGAATTATCACCAGAGATAACTACAAAGAGTGTGGGCGAGGTGTGGTGAGCTGGGAGGGGCCGGCAGGCCTGCGTCCCATTGCGTGTATATGGCATGTGCGTCCCATTGCGTGTATGTGGCATGTGCGTCCCATTGCGTGTATGTGGCATGTGCGTCCCATTGCGTGTATGTGGCATGTGTGTCCCATTCTGTGTCTCTGTGTCCCATTGTCTCTGCCTGGCTCGGCAGACATTTGTTTACCAAACATGTGCTCTTTCCACTGTCCTGTGAATTGTCTCCCTCCCCTTTGAAGTTCCAGACCCCCATCCCCTCCTCCTTAGCTCAGGATGGCAGATAAGCCTCAATAGCCTGACTGCCTTTGACCCTTTCGTGTCTATGTGAGCCTCCCATACATAGGAAATTACATTTAGTTTTCTCCTGTTAATCTGTTTCAGTTCAATTTAATTATTAGATCAGCCAAAAGAACCTGGAAGGGTAGAGGAAAATTTTTCAATATTTTTTTTCCTTTTACCTTTTTTTGTTGCATTTTGTTTAGACCAGTTCGAGTCCTGACACGTCCTGATTTTAGTTCTTCATTGGTAAAACTGGAATAATAATGCTTTTTCCTAAAAGGTTTGTTGTGATGTCTGAATGAGATAATGTGAGTGAAAGGGAAACACACAGATTACCTGCAGGATGCACTCACCACGGGGAAGGACTTGGAAGGTTAGGACCCCAGTAACCTTTTTTTAAAAAAATATTTTTTGGTGGAAATATAGTTGATTTACAATGTTGTGTTAGTTTCAGGTGTACAGCAAAGTGATTCAGCTATACATATATATATATCTCCATTCTTTTTCAGATTCTTTTCCCATATAGATTATTATAGAATATTGAGCAGAGTTCTCTGTGCTATACAGCTTGTTGATTATCTATTTTATATATAGTAGTGTGCATATATTAATCCCGATCTCCTAGTTTATCCCTTCCCCCTGCCCCGGCTATTCCCTTTGGTAACCGTAAGTTTGTTTTCTATGTCTGTGAGTCTATTCTATTTTGCAAATAAGTTCATTCATATCATTTTTTTAGATTCCACAAATAAGTGATTCTTTGTCTTCTGCCCTACGGTATCATTATTCCAAGCAAATTATGTTTTGACTAACGGGAAAGGAATAAAACCTCCACAACCGCTAGTATCCATTCGTTCAGCAAATATCTGTGAGTGCCTCTGTGTGTCAGGCACTGTTCTGGGTGCTGGAGTTAAAGCGGTAGGGATGAGGTGAATCAGCTTCTGCTCCTGCGATGCCTCATTTCAATATAGATGCAGGACTGTGCACAGAAATGTACTCCAAATGGGATTCGGGTCAGCACTTGGGTGCTGGAAATATGACTAAGAATTCCAGTTCTATCGCTCAGCTCTCATGTTGCTAACCTCCTCTTGGGGCATGAGGAGGTTAAGCCCCAGGTTATTTGATTCCTTTCCTTTCTTCAGTTACTTACATGTATTTCTGATCCAGATCTGCCCTAATTTTCTTTTCATGAAAATTGGCAAAATGGGAAGACAGAATTGCAGATGGTCTCAGGGTCCATGAACGAGGCACCAGTGATGCAGAGGCAGTAAGACAGCTCTGAAGTTTGCTCATTTGGCGGTGCTCACCCCACTGCCTTATCACAAGTACTAGGAGTATTTGCTCAGCTTCCATACAATGAGGAGGGATCTTGCTTAGAATAATTAAAAATAACGCTTGACCCGTATAAGGCATCAACTGTTTTAAATGCATTTAAAGTTTAAATTTTCACATTGGGGCTTGTGTTGAGCTAGGCTTTCACTGTGTTTTAGTCATTCTAGCCTTGTGAACAAATTGCAGTGTGCAAAAAGCAATGTGGGGTGTCCAGCGAAAGGAGTGCAAGCTTTGGAATCAAATGGATTAATGTGAGCCCTGGCTCTGCCACTTAGCATTTGCACTTACCTATTTTCCAAGTATGTAAAGATAATCTTGAATTAGTTACTAAATAAACCTTATTTAGAAATGTTATCTAATTCAAAATGACTTTTTGCAATTATTTGTTTTTTCAATCAGTGGATTATAACTGCATAAATAATATCAGATATGACATATTGGATTATTTTTAACTTCAAAAGGAGATCTCTCAAAAGTTATCAATATTTAAAAAATATTTGTCCCTGTTTGTTTTGTTGTATTTTGACCTCCATCCAGTTCCATCCTTCATCCCCCTTCTTCCCCGCCCTTTTTTCTCTCCAGCTAAGGTTCTCTAATCTCTGTGTTCAAACCCACCGTGGGTTAACACTTTAAAACTAGCCCCCTCTCCCCACAGTTGCCTGTTGCTTTTTCTCTTGGAGTTGCTTTCAAAGAGCCTTGCCGAAGTATACAAATTGTACAAGCGTTTTTCATCCCATGCTACCAAAATACATTTTTTAATGGCTTCTTATCCTGTCAACCAAGGCTCTCCTTAGGGGTTCACAGTGCATGTCTCAGTATACCAGTTTTGTTATGTATACATCTAGGTGTACACCAGCTTCACCTCCATGGATTCCAGGGCACACAACACACTGAAGTCCCTCTGGCCACAGCTTGAGAAAGAGATCACATAAAGTCACACTTCCTCAGCTCTCATCCACTCATGACCGCAGTATCTTCTCTCCATCACCAAGCTAAACTACCGAAATCATTGCTAAATTCTCAGACTTTGAGTATCTTTTTACTTTTCTTCAATTTTTAACAATAAATTTGTAAGTTTAAAATTTAGAGAAGGTTAAAATAATGGTAATAAAATTGAGTGTATTTTCTCACCACCAAGAATTAACTATAAAGAAAATTTGTCATATTAGCTCAGCCTGTTTGTCAAAAATGCAAAACATAACACGAAGCAGAAACCCCCTTTAAGCACCATCACTTTTCCTACCCCGCTACCCATTTTTCAGAGGCAATCAGTATAATTAATTAGTGAGTAGCTTCCCAGTTCATCTAAATGCATATATATTGACTACATAGTATTGCTTTTGCATGTTTTTATTCATTCATTTATTATTATATAAATATCTTTTTTATCTTGCTTTTTCTCACCCAACGTTTTGTTTTTACCGTCTCTCAATGTAGAGTATCTTACTTTATGGCTTTATTTTGTTTATTTGTTCCCGATTCGGTGGTCATTGCTACCATCCAAAGATGTCATCAATGCCCATCTTTGTATCAGTGGGGGAACTGTCCTAACATATAACATTTAAACATTTGGTACTGTAGGAAGACTATGATACTGTGTTAAGACCTTAGAATTCTTCTGATGGTAGAGTCGTGATGCTAAAATTCTCTTCAAGTTTTCAGCATCTGTAGTAGTGTTTTGTTTTGCCAAGTGTTCAAAATTCCTTTCTCCATCTTTCCCCTTGATTACCCCCACCCTTCCACATGTCCCCTGCCTCTCCTCGTAGATGTACTCATAAGCCAGCCTCCCATCCTATTAATGTTTTACCCAGTGTAGTTGCTCAGAGGATGTACATATGTATTGCTTTTCTGTGACACTCGCTTCAGAAATAGCACAAATAAATCTGTTGGAAGAAAATCACAGAGAAAGACCTATTCTTTATAATGCCAGCTATCAGGCTGATATGAATGACTCAGATTC